GATGTTACCACCGCCATTGGATCCACACGACTTTGGCCCCCACCCCTCCCCATCGGCCTGTGATCTTCCTGCATGCTGCATCATGGCCTGTGAGGGACTGAGTCCGGAGAGGGACGTATGGACTAGTATCAGACTTAAGGGACTTGAGTTGGACTGGGCTGGGAGGTTTTCCTTGATCGATAATGACTTCTCGATAGAAAACACTCTTCCACACACAGGATTTGCTTCACTAGTCACCCGGCCTAACACAGTTGCTGAGACCAACCCCATTTTGCAGACGGGAGGACGGAGGCCCAGCAAGGAAACCCAGCCTGCCTGGGAAAGTGTAGTCCCTGCCACTGGGATCCAGTTCCCTTCCTGGGATCCACCCACCTTACCCCAGAGCTCTGCCCGTGGTGGGAACAGCACCCCCTCAGTCCCCACTCACTGTGCTGGCTGGGCTGGAAGAAGTCTTCCCACAGCAGCTGGGGCCCAGCGCTGAGTCTCAGGCTGTAGTTGTCATAGAAGTCCGGGCTGTCCATAAGCAGAGTGCAAACGCACCGCGCCTCTTCCTTGTTCTGCGGGACACAGGAGCCGCGTCTGCACACACCAGGTGCCTTGGTCAGGCTGGTGGGGACTCACAGCTGTCCTCAGGACAGGCCTGGAGGCACCTCACCCCACTCTCCATGGAGGCTCCCATCCCCCCCAGCAGCAGGGCCTGGTCTCAAGGTTGGGCTCATCCTTGAGAGCCAGCCGAAGGGGAGAGCCCACAGCCTGGCTCACCAGTCAATGGATTTCTGACAATGAAGGAGTAGCCCAGTGCATATTATATGCAGTGAGCCACTGTGTGCTCTAGCCTGCCTCCCGACAGCCCCTGCCCTGGGCATCAAGGATCATCCTAACGGACCGCCTATGACAGCCAACCCCACACTTAGACGAGGGCCGAGGCCAGCAGTCTGCTCTTTATCTGAGAGGAGTAGGGGGCCCCTGAGCTGGGCTTTGCAGGGCACACCATCTCTGTCACAGCGACGCCAAACAGCTACCGATGATATGGGCCCGGGTGGGTTCTGATAAAACTGCATTGACAAAGACAGGTGGTGGACGGAATTTGGTCCATGGGCCGAGTGTGTGTGTGTGTGTGTGTGTGTGTGTGTATGTCCCGCTGCTCCCTGGTTTAGGCCACTGTAGCACAACACAACAGTAGGTCTACCCTCTGCTTGGGTCAATTGAAATACCATCTCCAGGAGAGAACCCTGTCCTCCTGGTGTGCTTGTGGACCCACTTATGTCACTGGGCACCACTTGCAACAGAGCACACTCTGTCACAGATGTCCCCATGTGGCACCTGCAGCAGCATACAGGGGTCCCTGCCCCACTGTCACAGCAAACTCCCCTCCGACCTGGTCCGACCTGGATGACAGGCAGCAGAGTGGTTCTCAAAGTGTGGCCTGGGGGGTCCATGATGACGCCCTTTCCTTCTCCTAACAAGAGCACGAGTGTCTAGTCTATTCTCTTTCTCTCATGAGTGACCGATGGAATTTTCCAGAAGTTATAAGAGGTCATTGTTCGGATGGCTCGTGGGGGTGAGGGTCTTATGGGGTTTTGTGATTTAAAAGGCCTCGGTTTTCATCTCGAATAGGGTAAGTATCCCTCCCAAGGGGAAACACCACCAAGGCAAGTCAGACACCAGCCCACGAGAGGCGGGAAACCCTTTGGGTCCTCACCGGTCTCTAAGTGTGTAGGAGGGGAGGGTCCTGAGACTAAACCACCCGAGCAAGGCTGTTCTAGTCCAATCTCCCACCCAGAATCACCGACACTATGCTCTGAGGCCTACCAGACACCCCTGCCCCAACATTCCACCCCTCTTAGTGCGGGTGAAAGAGTTAGCCTGCAGCGAGTCAAATGCTGGAAATGTAACACGGTTTGGGATTGGGTCTATCAAGATTTCGTGTGTTAAAAGGGACCCAAGATGTAAGAGTCCTCTCCGTAGCCTAAAATAACTTCTTTTCAAACCTGTTCCTCATTCAAGGTCAGCCCGCTGGCAAACCCATTCCTTCTTCAAGGATGCTCGCATTCAGGAAAGGGGAAGTGGGCCTTGTAGATGAGTCATAGAGCTCAGGACCTCAGTGGGTGGGTCTGAAGAGAATTTACGGGTTCCGGTTTGAAAATCCCCAGAGTAATGGAGATGTCAATTATGGTCTGATAATTCCTTGGGGAAATGCCAGTGGTTTTCCTGTAATCCTCGCTTCCTTTTGTCCCACCGCTCGGGAGTCCGCTGATGATGGTAAATCTAATCCTTGCTTCCAGGGACTATCTCGAAGCCTATTTCTTGTCCCACAGTTTAAGGTCTATAACTTACTTGCTTGATTTTGACCGAATTCTGCAGCAGTTCAGAGGTAGCAAGCCCGATTGTTTCCTTCTGTCCACGCTTGCAGAAATCAAATTAGAATTTATCAAAGCAACCGGATCTCTGTCTTTGGCTATCACAGGGACAGGCTCCATCAGACCCTTTGGCAGCCAGGAACACCTCTAACTCTCTACCCAGGAAGCCACAGTGAACCTCAGTCTCCCACCACCCAGGGCACCACCTGGACCAGGCCACCCAAGCTCCCCGCTCCAGCATAGCCCGGGCACTGCTTACTCAAGAAACAGAAACTTCTGCAGCTGGTATGAGAGGAGCAGCCCAGCGCTGCAGTTGGTGGGGCGCTCCATCTCCCACTCACAAGTGGAGGTGCTGATGTAGTTGGAGAAGCAAGTGGGCTTCTGCAGAACCTTCATGCTGCCTGGGGGGAGGGGAACACAAGAGAGCCCTGAGTGGTGTGGACCAACAAGGGGAGCATGCCTCCGAGGCAAGTCAGAACCAGCCCAAATGGGATCCACAGGTCCATCAACTCATACTAAAACCACAAGGCCGGCAAAGCTTACTAATCCCTGGAGAGCTGGGGCCAGGGCGAGGGGTGGGGTCCTGAAGCCTACGAAATTCCTCTCAGGGCTGATGGTATCAGAGGTCAATGGAGCCAAGTGCACCTTTATCGTACCTTGGGGGATCTGCTGACTGTTTCCTCCTATTATTGCAAAACCTGCATTTATTTTTATAACTTGCTTGATTTCTGAAGCCCTTCAGAGGTTGTGAAACCTCACTGTTGCCTTCTGTCTTGAGCTTCAGAGTAAATTTCGGAGCTTCTCCAAGCAGCCTGGTCTCTGTCTTTGGATGCGACAGCGACAGGTGATCCTAGACCCTGGTTCCCAGCAACGAAATTATACGTCTTGAGGTCACACCGCTCTCTGACTACGATTCCAACTGGTCTTCAAATCTCCCTTCCAAACAGACCCCCAAGCCAATCTCCTCTCCCCTCCTTTGGGGTCCCCAAACCTCCCCCTATCTTGCTCGCTATATAGCAGCTGAGGGGGGCTTTCTGCCACATGGGCACCCCTCTGCTCAAACCCTGCCAAGTCCCACTGGACTCAGCCCCCCTGTTTACTTCTCCACTGCCTCTTCTCCCTGTCCTCCGGCTCACCCACAGGCTGGGCTGTGGGTGCTGGAAAGGTCTGCGCATGCCTTTTCTGCAAACCCTCTGCCTAGCATGCTCCTTCTACAGAACCAGAAACACCCCAAACCCACGGCAGCAGCCAGTCGATGCTGACTCAGAGGGACCCTCTAGGACAGGGAGGAACTGCTCCCCCCGCCCCCCGGGGGGGTGTGTGTCCGAGATAGTTAACTCTTTACAGGCATAGTGAGCTCCCGTCTGGTGGTTTCGAACTGCTGACCTTCCAGATTTCAGCCCAATACAAACCCCTAGGTCACCGGGGTCCCTCCTCCTACAGAGAAATGCCTACAAGAGCAGCTAACTGCCTGGCACTCTCCCCTTCTAGTCGGCTCAAGTGCCACCTCGTGGAGGCCTTCTCTGAGTGTTGGGCTTTAAACTGTAAACCCTCCTCCCCATCCCACCCAGCCCCACTCACAACAACCCTACATTCCCAGGCTTCCCAGTGCCACGGAGTGGTCTGTGCTCCACAGGGTTTGCCCCGGCTGGGTTTTCAGACGTGTGAAAGGGATGGGTGAGAGGGGGTGACATACCAGAGCTGACCACCCATACCAGGATCAGGCAGCTCACGGGAAAGATGACCTCAGAGCAAAGCCACCCCATTGGGAGGTCCTCAGGCACCTGTGGCAAGAAAGCAAGCCTGGTTAGGGTCAGCCCGGCTCCCCCTCCCACCTGTCGCCCTCAGAGACAACCCCACCACCCAGGTCATGCATGTTGGTACCAGCGCAGGCCCCTCTCCCGCTCGCCGGAGCACTGGTTATCATCAGGTAGCATGGCCGGATGGCAGAATGTGCAGCACACAGTGCATGTCCCAGAGACTTCTGGGAGAAAACACCATGGGCTGCAACTGCCTTCGCTAACGAGTGTGGCCACCGTAGGGATGCCACAAGTGTAGGGCATTAACACAGGTATTCTCTCACCCCCAGAGGGGAGGGAAGGCTGCATTCAGGGTGCTAGTTCTGGAGAAGCCCTCCCCGCACCCGACCCCACCTCACCCACAGTGCTGGAGGACAGTCCTGTCTTCTTTCAACATCTGTGGGTCACGGGTCCTGGGAGACCCCCACGTGTCTTAGCATCAATCCTCCTTCCCACGGACCTAGGAGGTTCTGAGAGCAGGCACGCTGCCTCTAAAGCAGCGGTTCTCAACCTGTGGGTCTCGACCCCTTTGGGGGTTGAACGACCCTTTCACAGGGGTCGCCCGATCCATCAAAGTAGCAAAATGACAGTGAGGAAGTAGCAACGAAAATAATTGCATGGTTGGGAGTCATCCCCACATGTGGAACTGTCTGAAAGGGTGGCGGCGTGAGGAAGGTGGAGAACCGCTGGTCTAAAGGGTGTGCTCTGCCTCAGGTTGTTCTGGTTTGGATTCCTGAAGGCCCTCTCTGTTGGCTCCCCTGCCTCTCCTCTCCTCTCTTGAAAGATGAAGGTCACACCCTGGAGGTGATTACATCATTGCATAACTGTCATATCACATCGTTACAGAAGCGCCAAACCACTGAGATTTGTGGTTCAGCCAGGTTGGCACCTATTTCGGGAAGGACACAATTCAAACCGTGTCTCAATCATGTTTGAGAAATTCCCCAGACGTCTGGAAGTTTGTAATGTACATGGACACATACAGTTTCTAACAAGTCCTGTCATCAAAAGCAAATAAACACATAAATGAAAGGTTGTGTGTGTGTGTGTTTCCCACTTCACCCAATGGTTACCAAATTTATTCATGCCATCCTTTCACTCTCCCCCACCCCCATGAGGCAGGGGAAAACCAGCTCATTAATTCAGGGTTTGTATCCTTAAAATATACTTTGGAAATTCGGATTCAACTGTTCAGCCTGATCATTTACCAACTACCATTGACTCCAGCTCGGGGACCACCTGTGGGTGTGAGGAGAAGTGGGCCCCATGGAGTTGGTCAGTGGCTCATTACCCAGAAGTAGATTGCCAGCCTTTTCTTCTGAGGTGCCTGTGGGTGGCTTGAACCGCAAACCTTTTGGTCAGCAGCCAAGCACATTAACCATTTGCCTTGCCCAAGGGCACCATTATATAATACACTAACATAACAGGTTATATAAAGGATGGCATCTTCGTGCAATGAAGCGTTACACAAATCTGGCCTGAACCGTGTGCCTTGCCGTAAGAATGGTGTGGAAGGCACACCTATCCTCCACTGACTTCACAAGGGGGACCAAATCAAAGCCAAACCCACTGCCATTGAGTCGGTTCTGACCCTAGCACCCTACAGGACAGGGCAGAACTGCCCCTGGGGGCTTTCTAAGGTTGCAACTCTTTACAGGAGTAGAGAGCCTCATCTTTCTCCCTAGGAGCCACTGGTGGCTTCAAACTGCTGACCTTGTGGTTAGCAGCCTAACACGTGACCAAAGATGGATGGCACCAGGGCGTCTTCACATGGGGAAAGGGAATCAAAGTCAACATCAGCCAAAGGCCGATTCCTATGAGGCAAAGATCAGGCACGCCTTTGCCCCTCAAACCTCCTTACCGTTTCTGATATCTGAAGTCTGTGTATCCCACAAAACTCTACTTCTCGGCTGGGTTCTATAATCTATTGCAATGGCCAAATGGAACTCACAGACGGTACTCACTATTCTGGCATGTATTAGGGAAGTGACTGGGTACAAATGAGGACTAGAAATGCTCAGGACACAGTATTTGGGTTGGGGCAGCCTCTTCCTAACCACGCGCACAGGCAGGCCTCGCTCTGGTCTCCAGCCTCTCGGCCACCTGGCTCCGAGGCCTCTGGTAATGTTGCTCAGGCAATGCTACAAAGCTCTTTTAGCACTGCCAGTAAAACCCAAAGACCACACCAGTCCATCATAATGAATAAACCGAATTTCCCTTGGAGGTACCCCACCCCACAGGCCAGCCTCTTGCCCAGAGGCACGCAGCTTTGCTCCCGCCCTGGGTCAGAAAGCCCACCCCTCAGCCTCCTCTCTGCTCTGCTGCCGCCACATCCTTGCCTCTGGCGTCATAGATCTTTGTCTACTGAATCTTCGAAGTTCAGAGGTTCAGTGCACGGGGATCTCGGGGTCCAAAGGGCATGCCCCTCTCCTGACTCCTCTGTGATGGTAGTGAGATTCTTGTTTCGGCTTCTGAGACAGCTCCCTTTAAACCTAGCAGGATGGTACCCTCACCCATCCCCACATCAAAGCTCTGTCCACTGTTTGCACCCAGTCGTTTGGTTAGAATTACAGGGACTTTTCTAGGAGAGCCACCGCATATAATCCACTCTATCTGCGGCAGTTACATAATCTCCTGTCAACTTGCAAAAGGGTGGAGTCTAGCCTGTCAATCAGGTTATAGCCAATGAGGCCTCTGGAGGGACATGGCCTTCTCCTGAGGATTCTGGGAACTCCTGTTCTCTCTCTCTCTCTTTGCTTCCTCTCCCTCTTGACAAAGAAACACATGGAGTTATGCTGATAGAGTCAGAGCCCTGGAGCTGGAGGAGCCAAGTGGAGACCCACGCCAGGACTGAAATGCTTCCACCGCCACTGGAACCACAAGAATTTCCACCCACTGGCCTGCGATCTTCCTGCATTCAGCGTCATTTCATGTGTTGCATGAGCCTGAAGAGGAATTTTAGATTGGTATCGGACATATGGGCTAATATTAGACTTATAGACTTGATCTGGGCTGGCCTGGGATGTTTTCTTAATACACAATTACTCTTTATAACGTTCTCTCTTGCACACATACGAGTGTCTCTGGATTGGTTTCTCTAGGCAACCCAGATGAACACAGTACCTGAACTGTTTGGGGAAACAAAATATTAGCAATAGTAATGCAAGCAGAGACTTGAGAAAGTGGTTTTTTGGGGGGGCATTCACACCAGGGACCATCACCTGAGAACACCCCAAGCTAACCTCTTGCAGGATGGGATACGGAGTAGCGCCAAGGCACCACACGGCCAACACGTGGGCACATGAGCGATTCGATTTCCGAATAAATCACCCCTTAATACTTCAGTGAATATAAAAACAAGGACACCTACATAACCACAGTGTTATTGTTATCAAAAGCAGGAAGTTAGCATGTGTGCTCTGCCGCCAGCCACCACCCCTGCTTACACTTTGCAGTGGGTGCGGTTCTGCGCTCTAGAAAGCCAGGAGCACGCACTGTATTGGATTACCGCGTTGCCAAGCACCAGCCTGTGGCTTCTCAGTGCTGTTCTGCACAGACAGGAAACTGAGCCCCGCCACAAGGAAAGGGCAAGAAGGGCCTGGAATCTTCCTGAAAGCGGGGAGGTGCTCAAAGAATGTTGGGAACCGGTGAAAGAGATGGGCGGCACCTTGAACAGGGGCCTATTGCTCAACATGGG